TTCCGCGTTCTTATTTTTAGATATCTCTTGTATTTTACTTTGAAGCATTTCCTTCTGTAGCTGAAAATTAGCAAAAGATTCCGGGTCAGAATCAGAATATTCTATACAAAAGCTTTTCCAATCAATTTTTGGTAACTCACTAACAGACACTTTTGATGCGTTTCGCAAAAAATGTCATATACTTTTCTATGAAACCTAAGTAATCGTCTCTTCTTTATCTTTCAAATTTGCCACAGATTTGATTTTCGATAAACTTTAATTGGTCATAATTTGTCTGCTTGTTGACACTTACCGAATTGCAGGTCACTAATCAACTAACCATGGCTTCAAAATCAGGTAATTTCTAGAAGCTTATTATATTTATACCCTCTTACAGTTTCGTCCATTTTTTTTATAAAAACACTTCCTTTAACAGGGACATTTTTCATACGCAATGATTTCTAGCGGATTTTCAATGACTTATATGAAACTGGAGATTTATTGAGATCGTGTGAACGAAACTAGGTTTAATTTAAAAAATCGAAATAAAAATTGTAAAAATTGTAATAATTGACAAAATAAATTGAAACTGAAGCAAGGAACATTAAACATGAAAAGCTTTCTAAAAGTAGCTGATCGAATAAGGAACGAGAACCGATTATCGAAAAAATTGAATAACCAGTTTCGGGATTTGAAAAATTGCTGTTTTGTAGTTGAAATTTTTTTGAAAAAGTCCCAGTTAGTTTGTTGAAGGGATGTAAGTATTTAATTTTTTTTCTGTTGTTTTTTTCGTAAGTTTGTGCATCTTTCAATAAATACAGTAATTTGTTTCAAAAATTCCCGAGCAATGTGGTATTTTTTTTCTGTGGAAAGAGTTTTTTCCGATGCTGATTGAAAAGGGGAAATACACTGGTGGAAAGAGCTTATTCCAATGTTGAGTGGGAAGTGAAAACAATTTCCGAAGATATTTTTTCTGAATACATAAGACTTTAACTATTGTTTGCTTTCAATGGATAGGTAAAATCTCTGTTGAAGACAAAATTTTACCGTAGGAAAACAAGTTAATCTTCCATTTTAGGAGTTTTCATCGTGGGCGCAAAACGGACAGCTTTCGGGACGTTTGGTGGAAAACTGAAGAATACATCATCAACGGATCTAGGAGTCATAGCTAGTGTCGCAGCTTTAAAACACGCCAATGTCAAGCCTGAGGACATCGACCATGTCATATTCGGTGAGAGACCAGTTCTCGCTATGGATGTTTTGAACTAATTTTTTGAAAAATTGTACTAATGGCACGAGAGGAAATAACTTTGAGCAATTTTGGGTACTTTTACGGAATATAAGTTCTTCCGCTTTCAAAAAGAAATTGTGAGTGTTCAGGAAATGTTGTACCGAGTGCCAAAGATGGAATTTACCTCTCTCGTCACATTGGCCTTAGAAGCGGTGTTCCACAAGAAGTTGGTGCCCTTACCGTAAATCGACTATGTGGATCTGGCTTTCAAGCTCTTGTCAATGCTGCTCAGGTAGACTGCCTTAGTCCTCTTTTACTCTCATGGTTAAGTTTTGTACGCAGACAATGCGACCGCTGCCGCGTCGCGGCGATGTCTGCGTATTCTGCTCGTATCTCTATGTTTCTTTTGCGTTTCGAAATTAACGTGCAAAATGACCAATAGTTTTTACGTAATTTTTTGTAGGAAGAAACTTTACCTCAGGAAAGCAAGGTCTCATCTGCATTTCAATTTTTTTTAGCAAATCAAGCTTGGCGAATCAAAACTTGTTCTTGCTGGAGGTACAGAGAATATGACACAAGTCCCATTTGCAGTACGAAATATACGGTTTGGAACAGCTCTTGGCATGAAGTATGAGGTAAGCAATACCTAAACCAGCCCATTCTTCATCATGTAGAAATCTGAGGTCTAAAGTTTATGATTTAGTTCGAAGATATGTTGTGGGAGTCACTTACTGACAGCTATGCGAAATCAGCTATGGGACAGACAGCAGAGAAACTTGGAGCGAAGTACAAGGTTAGTTGCAGAATAAAGTATCGAAATTTCCCTCATCCAAACGAAAAAAAAGGCTAAGTAGGAAGTCATATTTAATAGAACCTGCCAGCTTTCATCAATTAGATGTTTACTCCGCCCCATGTGAGCGGTGATTGGCTGATTAATATCTCCTCCATGACGGAGGCGGTTGTCCAAATAAGTTGAAAGCATACAAGGCTGACGCGCACGTGGCGCGCGAGCAATTGTCAACCATGAGGCGCGACCGCTTTGTATGCTGCTTTCAGCTTATTTAGGCGACCGCCTTCGTCATGGAGTAGATATCTCCATTGACTGATTTATTGAACTCTCAATGGATGTAATATGTGCAAGCCC